CCTGCAGACATATTGTGTATGGCAAATACATAGGTGTGGTAGATTCTTCATCACAGGAACATGGGGCATGTCATATAGGATCAGACCACTGTTTCAGCTAATCAAGCATCTCATCTGCAGTAGTGGCAAATACCTGGAAGCAGACCTCAGCTGGTGTAAATTGTTCATAGTTCCACTGAGGATGCTTCCAGATGCGTTAGGTAAAATTCTGCTGCAATGCACTTTGTCAGTTGTGCAATGCAATATACTAGTAAACTTAACAATTAACATGCAACTTTCACAACCAGCCAGAACTGGTCTTTTTTTCAGAACATAGGTGGGCAGATGGGTGGCTCCCTAAGAAGCAAAAGGAGGTGAAGAAGGGCTTCTCACCATTCAGACCTCTTCACCAGCCAATCTTGATCTCCTGTAAAATCCAGAGTGACCAATCAGATGGCCTGACATAAAGTCAAGCTGTGATTGTCTCATGGGGACAGGGCTCTTTGCAGATCACCCTAGGCAGCATTGGCATGAGCAGCCTGGATCAGCACCTTGGATTCAAGGCACTGTATGTCAGAGTGGGTTGTAACAATGTTTTGCTCACATGTTCACAGAAAATGAACACAACAGGGATGCAAATGTGGCCCAAGAAAATTCATTTAAAAATTAACAGAATATTTGGATAAATGTTTTTGCATTATTCATCCAGTACTAATAATGGCCATGATGGTAATAGTAAAAATATCCTTCCATTTATTATTTGTTAAAGACCAAGAATAGGTAAGGCACAATACATAGCAGACAAAGCTATGGTTCCTGTCCAAAAAGCCATGAAGTGACCCATCACAGGCTGATTCCTGCAGATGAATGGAGCCCCATTGATTTCAACAAGCTGCAGGATTGGGACCTAAGAGTCCACTACTACAAACACTACCAGGGCAAAGTGAGTTCAATGGGACTATTCATGGGAGTAACCAATAAGTTTTATCATAACTGTATGGAGGAAAGTGCTCTTAACTCTTCACTGTAGATTCTCCCTTCCCCCAACCCTACTTTTTTTCCCTCCATTCCTTACTTAATATAATTGGTTCTGTAAAGAACATATAAAAAGCTGTACATTTGTAATACACAACAAGACAAGTGTTATCGGTCCTACAAAACCCATGAACTATGTTACATATCCTTGAGCACCATCAACTGGCACCTTATCTATTAACAAAAATTAACAGAGTACTCTCATAACAAGTCCAGGTCACTTTTAGCCTAACTAGTTAGTTTTTCCTGAAAAAACTAACTAGTTTTTGTGTGCCAGACCCTCAGCTGACTCCACTGACTTCATGGAAGCCATGTCAATTTATACCAGTTGAGGATTGGTCCCTAGATGTTCAGAGCAGGACTAACTAGTGTTAGCAGAATAATAAATAATAATCTAATAAACATGCCGTTTTGTTCACTGCACCTTTGAAAGTTTCCTGATGTACCTAAGTAGCATTAACAACTTTAACAGGGCTCTTCATAAATATACCACACACGCTGATATTGTTGAAACTAGAAATGGGCTTAAGTGTCTAAGTTCAGAGCCAGATCCATATTTATATCCAAACGTCCCCAAAGTGTCGAGGGGATTTTTGTATCCAGGGTTTTGGCTCATGGCTTTCTAGATGTAACAAAAGTATATCCATGGAGTTCAGCAACCATATATAATAATTATCATGAGTGGAAACAACACAAAAGTAGTTTGATGACTGATGACAAAGGCTATGAGGGAAAAGTTCCTGCATGCTAATGTTCACTCATACAGTTGACTCTTGACAGCCAACTGCATATTTCAGCATATATTGTTGCTCAGGAGCAAATATATCTGAGCAGCAGCTTTAGTCTATTTGTTCATAAATCTGGCCTTATTGAACAGTGGGTGGTCTTACTCTGATGCCTGAGTTAATGGGAAACATGGTCATTTCATGACTAACTGGGCTGACCCAGTTACAAATAGGAGAAACAAACCAAGACATTCAGTCTTTGATGAAAGAATGCTTTTATTCAGAGAATTGTCAGCCAGCCAGGTTCATTACCAGAGAAATTTGTCACTGAGTTCAATAGTTAAAGCAATATTTTGAAAAAAAGGGATTGGCTTTTTTATGAGCACAAATCAATGAGTAGCTGTGTGAGGACAAACAACAAGAAGTACCAAGGAAATCAAACCTTATCCTTCAGTACACTTTCTGGTCATTGGATGAAAGGTGCTAACTCAGTCCACAAATGCTTGTTCTCCAGTTCTTTATGGGCCAGATTCTGATACCCTTATTCATATTGAGTACTATGTTAATCCATTAGTGGTCCTATTTCAATGGGACCACACGTGGATGAAGGTACTATTGAATGTAAAGGTATAAGAATCTGGCCCTACATTTGGGGAGGTAGGGGGTAAGGGAAAGAAGCTGGGGACCTAAGATGGAACCTCTAGGTTTTCCAAAACATTTTATGTTTGTGTATTTAGGTCTCTGTCCATATGGAGTCCTGGTGAGTTCAATGTGATTCCATGCAGAGTTATGGGGTTATGTGGGTTGATCCCTTGGCATGACCGGGGCCTGAGGTTGTAAACACTGTGTGGCAAGAGCCACATCTTTTTCAGTGTCTTGTACAGTTCCAAGCATAATACTGGCGCTTAACAAAATCATAATAAATAACAATAAGCTAAATACATGCAAGTAATTGTGGCACCTTAGAGACTAACCAATTTATTTGAGCATAAGCTTTCGTGAGCTACAGCTCACTTCATCGCTCTAAGGTGCCACAAATACTCCTTTTCTTTTTGCGGATACAGACTAACACAGCTACTACTCTGAAAAGTAATTTATCATATCATTTAACACTATCATCAGAGCCTCCTCTCTGTCCTCCTGCAGGTGGTTCCCTGGGAATTACTTCTGTCCAGGAGCAAGGTGGGAAGAAGGTAGTCAGCATTTGTGAAGCTCCTTTGCATGAGATTTCCAATTCTGTCTTCTTACCATCTACTGCAGACTGGTCAAGTTGTGCAGAGCTCCCTTTTTTTCCAAACCAGAGAGCTACACGGGTCTCAGGATTTTACCCTGGGTATAAAGTACATTTAACACGGAGTCCAGTAAGACACCAAGACTCCATACAATGACAACAAATGGAGGGCAGATACCTTTTGTGGTGGGCCAAGTCAGGGCCTTTGTTAGCTTCTTGAAAGGTGCAATCCTGGTCCCATTGAAGTCAATGGCAAAAATACCATTGACTTTCAGTGGGGCTTGGATTTCACCTGAAATGCTTCCTTTTCTCCACTGGCACCACTTTTATCTTGCCTGATTTCAGGTAGAGGCAGCTGGGTTTCCACTAGATGCTATGTAGTGCTTCACAATTGACTGTGTTGAAGGCTGTGAGAGACTGAATAAGCATTGAAGCTGGATTTATATCCATAATGCCAGAGGTCTCCATTTTGCAACTGGTTCCAAAGACCTACTGTGAAGGCTCAGGACATCAGCAGGTGCTGCTGTTAGTTGGCTGACATTATCCTCTTGATACTGCTTAGAATATCGCTGTAGGAAGGTTTATGACATGACACTAGCTGAAGAGACTATCTGCCGCAAGTGTTGTTTCTACTATAAATGTCAGTTATACTATAACTATCTCCAGGTAGGTGTTTGAATGCCTCCTTCAGGGAGGGCAATCTTCATTTGTGTCTGTAATGGACCCAGTTGCTCTTCACTGGCTTTCACTAGCCAGCAGGGAACAGGAAGGATCTCTTTCAGATATAACAGGTCAAACTTCCCCCCGAGTGGCTAGTGCAGTAGGGTCCAGCTCAGACTAGAGTGGTGGGATTGTTATTGTTCTTTGGCCTTGTCTGGGTGCATCCACTCTGGAGAGTTCATCCCACATTTAGTTTATCTTTTCTGCAAAGTAAGATCCGTTTGCATTATACGCTGCTCTTTGGAGTGGATTTTTGGCCCTGTATCCTGAAAAGTGGGTAGAGGCAGAAAGAGTCTCATCTTGTATAATAATTTAAGGCTCACGTGTCCACATAAGCTGAATGTTTCTCTTCCAGGAACATAGTTTTGTATAGTTCTTCTCTCAGGTACAATCATAAGGCAGGCACAAACTGCCTATAATCCAGTTTCAAAGATAAAGCCAGCCAGTCACGTATCCCCAGCACTGGTATATGGTAGTTGTACCAGGACGTCACTGTCCACATGCTGAAAACAGTAAGACTTCTGTGATCTACCTGCAGCAAGAAAAAGCAGCTCTTTATTAGTCCTTTTGTCTTTGCATAGGACTGCAACATTACATTGCCCTTTGATTTTTAAAGCCTTCAGTTTGTTTGTTTCTATGACACAAAGAAACTTCTTAAGCAACAGTTAACAATCTCTTTTTCTTATTATGGTTTTAGATGTTATTTCCCCAGTGTCTTTATTCTTGTATAAGATTGGAGATCAGAGCAGGAAATCTATCCTTGCTTGTTAATCAGCAGAGAGGGATTCACCTTGATTAACTGCATAGTTATGCCACATCATCTTTCCCATCTCTCTTTGTAAGGCTTAGTGCTAACAACAGAATCTGGAACATCATAGTGTACTTAAGCAATTTGTATGGCATTTGAGACTCTGAAGTTGAGACTCTAAACCTGGAGGTTCTTTTTATATTTTCACTCTTCCTTCATGCTCCCCCAAAATACTATTCTCTGCAAGGTGATATATTAAGGGTTTTAGCTCAGAATAAAATATTTGCAAAGTATGATTAAAGCTGCATCCTTGACATGTCCTGATATGCTAGAATATTTGTTACATGGACAAAAAAATCCTCTATTTAAAGTAAGATGCTGTTGTGAGCATGTTGTGAGCTCTCTATAACTAACAGTAATTCTATAGAGTGTATGCTGCAACATGATGATACCACAAGATTTTAATGATGACATTTTAGCTTTCAGTCTCGGTTTTCTTTATTGTGCATTGCAGATGGATCTCTTAATCTCTGCAAGAGTCATGTTTCTTTCATACAGATATAGGTACACAATGTGGGCAACAAATGCAAAGCTGAATAGTGCCTGCAAAATGGTTCAGAAGATTCCCATACTGAAATGAACCTCAGCCGGCTCACCATTCTGCCAAACTCAACCCAATTTTGTAAGTCTGTGTGTGCGTGTGTGTGTGTATTAGAGCTTGTCAAAAATTGAAATTATCATCCTGTGGAAAATTATATTTCAAAACTTGTTTTTATTGCAAAGTGGGACAAAATGTTGAACTATTGAAATTTTCAGTAGAATGGAAAAGTTCAGAAAAATTTCAATTTGGAAATCTCAAAACGTTTTGTTTTGGTTCAGTTTGACATTGAACTCTGTCTCACTGAACTATTGCAGTGTTTAATGGGAGTTTGGGTGCCTCTTGCCTCAGTATTCTATGGGCCAGGCTCTCTGGCCACACTACTTCTCCCATAATGCATTGTGGTCATGTGACTCCCATGATACATCAAAATGGTTTTACTGAGGGATTCCTGTCAAAATAATTTTTTTAAAATTCCAGTTGAAAATGTTGGTCATGCAGAAACTACATTTCCATCAAAAAACATTTTGACTGAAAATATTCCTGCCCAGCTCTAATAAATAGATTAGGTATGTCCCTCCCACACATCATGTATAGTCTTGTGTAATTCATTTGAGGTAGTTCCTTATTATCACATTCTTACTAAACATTATCCTCAGTTTGCTCTTGTGTGTGTATCTGAATTAGAGCTGTGCAAGAACCAGATTATCCATTTTATGGGAAATTCCACAATTTAGAATTTTTTTATCATTCTGAAACAGATCAAAAATGAATTTGAAATTTCCCATTTTTCATTAAATTAAATTTTAATAAATGGCTTTGGTTGATGTAAATATTTTGCTTTGATAAAATCAAAATGTTGTATTCCAATATTGACCTTTTAAATACAAAGCAATGAACATATTTTGGAAATGAAAAATCAGAACTCTTAAAATGCTATTCTTAAAGTGCTATTCTTAAAATGTCAAAACACATCATTTCATTTTTTTCTAAATAAAATTTCATTAAATTCAATGAAAGGGTCATTTTTTGACAAAAAAAAATTATTGAAAAATTTCTGACCAGTTCCGGTGTGAATGTAGGTGCTCAGTTAGTTGGTAACAAGTCTTGTTATAATCCTGAATAGATAGATATGAATGGGATTTTTTTCAGCTCCTGCGTCCATGTTATATGCTTATATCCCCCGACTGGCAATCCATTTGTCTTCAGGCCTAGATGCTGTTCATGTAAGAGTCTGCCTTTACTCTGACCTCAAGTCTACAAATCCCAGCACTTCACTGTTGTAAAACCTTCTCTAGAAAGTTGCATATGCATCATGGAAGCATTGGCTATCCTAGGAGGCCTGTATTCAAGTCGAAGGCAGGATGGAAAGGAACAGTGATGTCTGTGGACAGCTGAATTCACAAGTAAAGGATTATTAAGAGCTGGTAGGAAAGAAGGGTCATTAACCAGGCTAGGAACACTTCTCTTTGCTTAAGGGGATCACAGGGCAGCTGTGTGGGAGGAATACTAGCCTGAAGCAAGGTATTTCTGTTTGGAGAACGAGCCCATAGAAGCAGCTGTACTGAAGGCTTGGATAACATTTAGAATAGAATCCAAACCTTTGGGGACATATACAGGCTCTTCTAACTCCTGAACAGGTCTGAGATTTGCACATCACTAATGGATAATTCTCAAAATGAGTGCTGCATTTTTCATCCATTCCTTTTATGGACCTGTGCAGGCGGCCTCTATTTAACATTCTCATTGGTGGATTTGAAAGATAAGTAGCATCTAATTGTACTCTCGTCAAAGGATGCCACTTTAAGAAGATTATCTTTTGTACACAGTACTTATCATTGCAAAGAACTCCCAGCTTCTTGATTGGAATAGAAAAGATTGAAAAGTAAATAGAGAGGAGCCAAACAAGCTGAATACTTGTTCTGGGCATTTATCCTAAGTTATCCTGGAATTAAATTATTACACCTAGGAGTTTATGACATCTCTGAACTGCAAAGGTGAGTCATAACTAGCGCAAATTTGCAAACTAAAAAAAAATTAGTTAAAATGATGTAAAACGGAAACTGGGATCTCATTGTGCTAGGGCATGTACATACATATATATACTAGCCCCAGAGACCGTACAATCTAAATAGACAAGATAGAGGGTAGGAGGGGAAACAGGCACAGAAAAGAAGGTGGTTTGTCACAAAGCTGATCAACATTGAGGTGCTGAACCCAGGTCTTCAGGCCAGTGCCCTGTACACTAGACCATACTGCCTCTCCTGAAACAGTGAAGGTTGAAAGAGTGATTTAATAGAGTCCAGCTAATCTCCCCACATACAATATTGCCTTCTTGACAAAAATTGCACACCTTTTAAAACCCCCAAATCTTAGTATGATTGGAAATACACCTAAGGAATCCAGGCTGTTCCCCTCTCTAATTTAACTATTTCACACAACCTTTTTACCTCCTTCCCAAACTTAACTTGAGCCCCAACTTTTACAAAAACAGAACAAAAAAGTACAAACAACAATTCGTAACTCTTCTTTCACAACCTTTTTTTCATTGTGAATTTCCCAACCTTTTGATTGAGCGGTGAAAGTTTGAATTAGTTCATAGCTCAAGCCCTGCAGGAAGAGAGCTGTACTCTGACTTTGATGTGAGGCTCATCAAAGCAGATCTCCCCTCCTGCAGAATTTAGCAAAACTAAAGGAGGGAGTTATTCCTGGGTGAGATATGGGGTAGTGGACAGTGGAGAGCAATGGAGGAGTGGCAGGACAAGGCTTTTATCCATATGGAAAACTTCAAGTGCTTACAAATTTTATAGCTAGAAAATTGTAAGAATTAGGAAACAATGCAGACCTATTTCAGCTGAGCACCAGCCCTTAAAGTTTAGCATGGATAAGAGTTTTTTTCCTTTTGCACATCCCTCTCCATTCCACTTCACATCAGTATCCCTCCTTTAGCATTACACAGGGTCCTTTTTATAACCCTGCTTGAATAACCCTGCTTGAATAACCCCTTATTTGTCTACCTCAGTGTGTATTATCGTAAGCTATTTTTTATTATATCTCTTTGTAATTCTCTCCCTCCTGCCCCCCATCCCCACTTCCTAATCACATCTATCTCCCCCAAAATATGTAAAGGCAGTGCTTCTATGTACAGTCAGCAAAAATAAGCATGGAGTTTCTAGGTGGAGTTATTTAGGAGCTATTATAAGCCAAAAAATGTTAGAAAAAAATCAGAACTGAACTTTAGGGAATATTTTCAAAGCACATTAACTTTTCTAATTTTTACCAAACATTACAGAAACATTGAGGGGCAAAACTGGACCTACTTGAAAGATTAGGATGGTCTGAGGAAAGTCCAAAAGGCGAATTACTCCATTAGCCCAGAAAATAGAAAAGGCACAGGCAGGAAGTGCTTGGGAGTGGGAAGACAAAACAAGACAAGATGAAACAAGACTAGCAAGCTTTTGAGAGCCAGAGTCAGGAGAGATCTCTCAGAGGGAAGATACCTTCTGTCTGTCCCTCCGCCCCTTGACTGAGTGAGCTAAGCACTGTATGCTTGTAGATACAGAGCTGCACAAGCTTGTAAAGGTGGTGGGGAGAACACTGTAAATAAATTTCACAAGCTGTCTGAACAGAAGAAGGTCTCTGAGCAGTTTGTATCTAGAAAAGAGATGGGAGCAGGACACCTTTCTGGCACACCAGATCTGCTTGAAAGCCCTGTGACCTGCAGAGCAGCCAGGTTGTTCTGAAAGATTTGCACAGGTAATTGCTTGCTGTATGTTTAAGCTTCTTGCCACTATCTTCAAAGCCCTGAATAACTCTGCCTGTCCCAACTTATTTTCCTTTTCTTGTTATCCCTGTCATCTCCTCTCTGCCAGCATTCACAGCCGCATCTGTTAGACATTCTCACTCCATCACTTCCATGCCATCTTGCAGGGTGTTCCCATGGATTCTCTAACCTCTGGGCAAGTTTTATAAACCCTACTATGTCCATGTTAAATCATACAGACCCACTTCTGTTGAGCTTCCTACAGTGAATCTAGTTGACTTGTATACAAATTCTCTACTTGCTGTTCCCTTGTTGTCTCGTCCTTCTGACTTTGTTTATAATGTGAACTCTTTGAATCAGGGCCATCCCTTCTTGAATGTCTGAACAGTGCCTAGTTCACTGTAGCCTACTTCATTTTGCCTAGCTCATTCTACCATAAAGAAATTCATAATAATAAAATAATGTATTATGCATGTTGGTTTACTGTAAATGACTACTAAGTGTCACTAATTCCACACAAAGATACAACAGCAAGAGCATTTATCTAGCCATGAATAATAAGTTTGGTTTTAATAAGTGGCTGTTTTGTTCACATAATACCTATTAGACCAAATTTTCAGCTGGCCTCAGCCCAGCCAATAAATTTACGAGCTTGAGCCTTATGCAAGCTAATAGACAGGTAAATGCTCATTTTCCACGTGCCAAATATGTATCCACAAGTTGAGTGGCTTCAGCAGAAAATTGGTACACATGCACTGTAAAGCTTAAGTGTAAAATTTGAGCTGCTTTAAAACTGGTTACAGTTTAGTAGGAATCATGACTAATAATGTGTAGATTTTAAAAAATGAAATGCCCTTTTGTGAGACTTACAAAAACAGTTATGCTCCTTTTATTGGCCTTGCAATAGCAGCCAGCTAGCCAATACTATTTCTAGAGGTGTACAGATGGGCATGGCTTTGTACAATGCTATCCAATGTCAATTTTCATAACATGATAACAAATATGTTAATTTCATCTCTTAAAAAAAGTAATATATGTGCATCAAAAGGAAAAAGGATTTAGTTGGGGATGGGTCCTGCTTTGAGCAGGGGGTTGGACTAGATACCTCCTGAGGTCCCTTCCAACCCTGATATTCTATGATTCTATCATTCTATGAAAAGGATAAAATCAGTTGGAATAATATATTTCCAAACTTTATAAGGGAATACTGCAAACAAGAGAGAAAATATCATTCCAAACCAGCACTGGCATTGAAAGCGAGCTACACAAATGACTGTTTGGACTCCTGAGATTTTAAGGACTCCATGCTAACCTGTACCTCACTGGCCAGCCCATTCTTCCCCATGAACAGTGGGATTAGAGCAGCCTAATCTTCCCATCAAAGGGGGGAAGTGAAGAAAGATGCAACTCATCATGGCCCAATGATATATACAAAATGATGGGGTCTAAATTAGCTGTTGCCACTCAAGGAAGAGATCTTGAAATCATCATGAATAGTTATCTGGAAAAATCTGCTCAATATGCAGCAGCAGTCAAAAGAGTTAGCAATGTTCGGAACCATTAGGAAAAGGATAGATAATAAGACAGAAAATATCATAATGCCACTGTATACCCATATCTTGAATACTGCATGCAGTTATGGTTGTCTCATCTCAAAAAACATATATTAGAATTGGAAAAGATAAAGAAAAAAGTAACAGAAATGATGAGGTGTATGGAACAGCTTGCAACGAGGAGAGATTAAAAAGACTGGGACTGTTCAATTTAGAAAAGCGACAACTAAGTGGGGGATATAATAGAAGTCTATAAAATCATGACTGGTGTTGAAAAATGAATACGGAAGTGTTATTTACCCCTTCACATAACACAAGAACTGGGGTAACCTGGTGAAATAAATAGGCAGCAGGTTTAAAACAAACAAAAGGAAGTACTTCACACAATGCACAGTCAACCTGTCTAACTCATTATCAGAGGGTGTTGTGAAGGCCAAAAGTAAAAATGGGTTAAAAAAGGATTAGATAAGTTCCTGGAGGATAGTTCCATCAATAGCTATTAGCCAAGATTGTCAGGGACACAAGCCCATGCTCTGGGTATTCCTTAACCTCTGACTGCCAGAAGCTGGGACTTGATGACAGGGGATGGATCACTCAATAATTGCCCTGTTTTGTTCATTCCCTCTGAAGTATCTGGCACTGGCCACTGTCAAGGCACAAGATATTGGGCTAGATGGACCATTGGTCTGACCCAGTATGGCTGTTCAGATGTTCTTATGTAATCAACCTTCCAGCAGCTTTGGCTGGCAAATCCTGGAACTGAACTGGCATCTTAAAAACAATGCATATACTAATAATTTTTATTATGTTATTGCTGTTTAACACAATAGCTGAATGTGTTTGAATGGCAGTTAATATATAGCTGTTATATATAAGTAGAATAGAAGTAGATTAAAATTTCACCAAGAACCAGCATTTTCAAAGCCGAGGTATTAGCCCAAAACAGTTGTTAAAGTGTTTACCTTCTGAATCTGCTCAGAACATGGGCTTATCTGCAGGCCCTTCTCAATCCTGTGTCTGTCACTGGGGTAATTAAAAATGAAACTAACAGGGTAAGGTGCAAATACAATAAAATTTATTAGACCAACATGGTCTTAAAAGCAGAACCCTTGTCACAAGCAATAACAAAGCACAGGTAAATACAAATGACTCGGTTGTTAACAGTAGATGGAAATGGACTTAAAGTCTGGAGTCCACAAACTTGATACACTGGGATAACCAAAAGATATTAAAAGGACACTACAGTCCCATCTCTCTCTTTGTCCTTGGCATGAACCCCGACTGTCCAAGGGATGGACCCCAACTGTCCCACGGAACGAACCCTGGCTATGACGAGGATGGTTCTGGAATCCTGGACAGAGCCAATGAAGACTGGAGACACCGGACCACAGGAACACTGGAACACACTGGAACCCTGGAACAAGATGCGATGATCATCAGGTAAGTGGCTTGTCTCTTCTTCCTTCTGTCTTCCATTCCCTATGCATCATCCTGATGGTAGTATGCAGACTTGCAGGTGGAAATAAAAATGGGTGCGTGCAGTATATGACAACGATGGAACCTGATATCATATGCTATGATCCTGGCCTAGCTGGACTCCTTCCACAGGCTGATAACATAGGAGACACTGGCTGTCACTAGGATGGACAGCCCCGAGCATGAGTGAGGTGGTCACCTGTTGCTAGGCAGACTACGCAGTTACGTATTCTAACTGCTCCTGACTTTTCCTGCTCTAATTTGAAAAAGGCACACGGAAGGGTGGGAAGCTCTCACTGAAGGAGGGCATCCAAAATGGAGTCCTACTTCTTGTTTTTACAGAACAAGATGGAGACTAGAGGAGAAACGTAACAAAACAAGATTTTACCCCAAAAGAGGTACCTTTTTGCATCCACATATGCAGTTGCAGATACAATTATTATCACTTAGACATCTAATTGCAAGGCATTCAATTAGATGTAGTAAGATACATTTTGCATTTATTTGCACTCACAAACTGTGGGTACAAAGAGCGAGAAATTGGGCTTTAAAAATCTGGTATTAAAGATGTTATTTGAATTGAACTCCCCCCCCCCCCCAGTAAATCCAGAATTAATCTACTTAATTCACCCAGAGGTTTATGTATAGCCAGGATATTAAGGTGTCTCTAAGTGGCCAGAGGATAGTGGTTGATTGTTCATTTGGGTCTCTGCACAGGGTAATTCAGAACACAGATAAGTGCTCAGCTCATTTTGCCTGGTGATAGCAAATTGGGGCTTAGTTTGCTTTGTCCAGTCAACTTGTCAGCTCCAAGAGTTCCATGCAGTGGACCGGGCAAATTTTCAGTTGCCCAGCAACCCAGTCAGACCTGATAGCAGGGGATGTACCTGAATGCAAGAGCAAATCGTTTGCATTGGAGGTCCCAGGTTCAGATCAAAGCAACTCCCTTTGCCTTTATGCACCTAGAGCCTTAGAGAAGTACATTTTATAAACATAAACATTAAATATTAGATTAGATCATCAAGTACAATATGTTGCCTTCAGTAGTGGCGAAGAGTAAACACAACCCTCAGTGAGACACACAGACATGCATTCTCACCACCAGCTACCAAGGTTTGGGATTATTGGCTGATCAAATGTTTCACTCCCCAAACACTAGTTTAGTGTTTTTTAAACTGCTTTAAACATCTGTCACATCTATCAACTGCTTTAAACGCTATCACAAAAGACATGTGTGCTGATGAGCAGTAGATAGTTCACTGCTGCTAATTATTGTAGCTTTTGTCTAGTGGTCCGCTGTCTTTTCCCATGGAAAGGAGAAAGGAAAAAAAGGGCGGGGGCTTATCCCACTGATGTTAAAAAATGAAAACATTTCCATAACAGTTCACAAAAAATATGTATAATTTTGTTTTGGGACATTTCATGAAGTTAGACATTCCTCTTTTTAATGTATTAAGTATTCATTAAATGTCTGATTTTGTACTGAAACATGTATATTCACCTTTTTGCAAGCATTAGTGGGAACATTTAACAAAGTCGTATTTTTCAATGAAAATTCTCCCATTGAACTGTACAGTTGTTGACAAAATCAGACCAATTTCCCAAATTCCAATGTCTTTGCATTTTGTTGAAAGGGTTTCACACAGCCCTGGCTCCTACCCTGAATATTTGTAAATTAGGGCAGAATAGCGAAGAAGGTTCCACATAAACTCTCATGTCCTGGCTGTTGAAATCTAGACCCTTGAATTTCTACAAATATTTGGATTTTCCTTTTCTTACCCCTCATTAGCCCTGCCAGCTTTTTTCATGCCCTTGAGAAATAATAGATATGGAATAAATTAAGAATTGAAAAAGACCTAAGGAAGAAACCTTGCTTATTAAATGTAGCTTTTTATGGCATAGCAAGAGACTGACCCAAACCAAGAGCCTTTTGGATATCAACAGCACATTTTGGACTGGATCTTTTACAATGAAAATTATCACCTGGACATACAGAAATGCTTTGACTGAATCTAGCCAGGTATTGTTGCTGCACTTTCCTAGATTAGAACATTCCATTCTTACTCTCTTTTCTCCCAAGCAATGTAATATCTCCCATTTGGATGGAGGCTACATGATCAGAAAGCAATCCATATTGTGGATGACATGTGAAACACAGCTCTCCATAATGTATTTGGATAGCCATTGATTTCTGAGGTTTGGAGATAAATTCTTCACAAAAATTCTGTAAACTGAAAGCAGATTCTTGCCCTACATAATTAAAAAATATATTTTTTTCATTAATGCTAAGATTTTTATTTAAAAAAAAACCCTGCTTCTGTATGAAAAAAAATAGAAAGAAATATTAGCAATTTTTACCCATAATCAGAATGCTAAAAAATATTTGTTCTCATCCTGTCTTTTAGCTTTCTTTGAAGTCACAATATTAAACCTCCTTAAAAATATTTACGTGTATTTAGTTAACAAAAGCTCCTGTAAGTTGAATCCATGCTGGCAAAAGGTTCAGGTAAGCTCTCTATATAAGCTTACAGACAATTGTGTAAATCTTCAGCCATTAAAGAGAAAGGAGAAAAAAGCCATCCTCATTACACTGCTGTCATTTACTCTTCATCTCCTGTCCTCTTTAGCAGCATTAAGATGGGATGTAAATTTGCCAGTTAATGCTGTTAGAAAATGGATGGTTCAAGAAGGGCAGGAATTAGAGATCAGTATTAGGTGCAGATAAGCTCCTTTTCCTCCGCAGTGGCGGCTGTTTAACATTCATGGGAAAATCATCATCAAACAGCGTTATCACAGCTCTGTTGATGGCTGAGGAACTTCATCACTATGATAATTTTTTTTTATAGCTGTGAGCCAAAAAGCTGCCTTTTATTTCTGCTGTCTATAACTGCGATAGGAGCTTGTTTGTATGGGTAGGGTGCTGCAAACTCATAGCTCTTCAGCCAGGTTTGATTTCTTTCCACTGCCACTACCCCCCTCAGCCCCTTGTGTACGTTGCATGAAACAGTCATGCTGATAAAAAAAAAAAGTGCTCCAACAATCCTTCAAAGCATAACTGATATTTTTATGATCAGTAATTCAAAGTTTGACAAGTGATGCTATTCTATAATGAAACTGTCATCCATTTTGTTGTGAGTAAAGTGCTGAGATTATAAAGGGAACATGTAGGGAAGAAGTGAATATCTAATCCCATATATCTTGGCCAGGAGACAGTTTAAGGTAGTTAAAGAATCGTAACATCACAAATTTTGTATAGTCAGAGCCATTTATTTTTCCTTTTTCAGCCTCAGGTTAAGAGGTTCATAGCCTATCACATCTTCTTTTTATCCCTTTCTGATTAAAATAAATACAACCTGGAAGGAAAAATGCACTTTTCTCCACAGTCTGTTTTAAATTAGTATAAGGTATTTTAATTCATTTGTAACGTTTTTGTCATAATTGGAGGTGTCCTATTTTGAACTGGTCAGATTTGCTTACGGACATGTCTCTAAAAGATATTTCTACTATATTCTCAGCCACCTTCCAACATACCAGAGATGTGGGTCATGGTCATTTGTTGTAATGTACTGGGCAGAGGAAGAAATGCAGCTCCAAACTGTATGTATTCTTCTGAAGCAGATAAGGACACTATGCAAGGACATTTTTAATTTATTAAGGTTCTCAAGCTTATGCTTCTTTGCATCTTTGACCTCATTTTTTGTAGTTTATCTCCTCTAAATGACATTTTTCATTTTGAATATAGCTGGAAAACATTGTGCTAAACAGCAATTTTGTAGCTTCTACAGCAACTCACGGTAATTTTGGTATTTCCACTTTGAGTTCAGTATTGATTTGATTACTTAGGTAATTTACTTTTGACAAGCTCATTTCTTGTCTTTTCCTGAGCAGGGACTTCCAATCTCGCCATGTGCTGAATTATGTTTGGAGTTTAGAGATAAGGACTTTTGTCTCCTAGAGACTCAGCTTAGGCCACCAAACTCATTTCCCATAGGAAGAGGGTTTGAATCCAGTCAGGATCCTAGAGGTGAAAGGCTAGTGCTTTGTAATTTAAATATTACCATATACAAATACGTTTAAAGCTGATATCGTGTGGTTGAGGAAATACGTCTTTCCTACTTGGGTAATTTTGACTGAAAATCCAGGGAGCTCTTCCCTAAAGAACAAGGGGGCTCAAAAGGCCTCCACAACTGCTGACTTTTAAAGTTCCAAATGTTCTCCAGGGTCATCCTCCTCTTAGTAACTGGTTGCAGATTCATGCAGCAGCTGCTGAGCTGACTCCTTCTGAGCCAGGCTCTCAGATTCCTTCTCAGCCTGCTTGTCACCTTGGGGAATGGTGCCAGAGAGACCTTCCTGAGCATGCTCTGTGGGTTTCTCCAGTGTTCTAATGCTAATACAGGCGCAGATTGCCAGCATTGCAGGGAAGAATAAGCCAGCTAGAGAAGGAATTTAAAGAGGCCACTACATAAAATAGGCCTTCCCTAGCTGAGCTTCAAAAAGGAGCCGTGAGCCATGGCCCATGGAGATAAAGGAGAATGTGGCCCCAGAGATTACTACCTCTCTCACCACTGTAAGAAAAAGTACTATGGCAGAAAAAGTGAAAGATGGCATTCTTCCCGTCCCACTCCCAGACGATCCTTACACCAGGGAGTATATGGCTTCTGCAGGATTTCAACGGAAGGAACAGCACTCTTTTTGCACTGAGTGGAGGGACTGGGCTACTTTAAATTATACAAATGAAAATGGGTTTTTTTTTTAATTGTCTTTTTCCAAAAAAACATTTTTTGCATGAAAAATTATCACAACATTATCAAAAAGTTCCCTTTTCCACAAAAGAGTCAGATCTTTGGGGGACTTTTTATTATTCAAAAAACATTATTGCATTATTGTAAATGTAATAAACGTTGAAACTTTTCATTGACCAAAACCCAAGCCTGTTATGTTCTATTTTGGATTTAGTCTCCCAT